AATAAGACAGGAAATCATAATAACAACTATAAAATCTTCACTGAACTAAGGTGCTAAGACAAGAAACAATCACTCAGAATCGGACTCCTGATGAAGGAAATACTGTATGCCCCTAGTCTTAAACACACAGTTCCTCTGATTACAAATAATTTTCATAACTATGTGTATATAAATATATAAACATATATGTATATATGATCTTATGTTTATAACTACTAATGTCTTACACTGAATGGATAAAATAAATATATCTTTTTAATGATATGAAAACAAGTTTCAAGAAACAATAACTGCAAATTAATTAAATGAAGAAAAAGCATTCAAATCATCAATTTTTAAGAAATAATCATGAAAAAAATATATATATAACTTTGAAATATCTAAGCCCTAAATGTAGTATCTGATGGGTTTAGCAGTGGTACATTTTCAGGTAATGTTTAAGTATTTATACCCACTGTTTACATATCAAAATGGAGCTTTGGTTTTCAATTGTAAAAAATTCTAGCATATCCATTTTCCTCATCAAACTGAAAATCTATATAACTAAATTTTAGACTCAAACAAAAGCAATAAAGAAAGCATATGATAATCAATTAAAACAAAAGATATATAATCCAATCATAAAAATAAAATGCAATAAATTCCTTGTTTTACAGCTCTAGTGCATAAAATGTATCTAGTCCTTCCACACGACGTAGGGAACTGTCAATTCAGTAATATTGAAGAAAAAAAAAAGTTCAGGGTGTTATATCAACCCTGACTTTATGAATGACATATCTTTGCTAACCATGTAAAAAAAAGAATAAATAAATAAATAAAAAAGCTTCTTACCAAACAAGACCTTTAATGAGTCTGCCATTCTATTCATAGCTAAACAATTAATCTAAATGTATATTTCTAGTCAGTTTGGAAATAAAATCATTCTTATTTCAATTTGATTTCTCTTTCTCATATCATAGAGTGGTAATAGAAAATATGTAGTTAATTACAGCAGTACTGATAAATATAACAATGAAGATATGAAGTGAAAAAAAACTATCTGTATCTGACTATTATAAGTAATAATAAATACTCAAATAAAGAGTAATCTGTGATATCAATAATAATGAGCACATGAATAGTTGGCCCAGAAGAGTTCCAGAGCCAAGAGATTTCTTTGCTCATGAACATTAAAGTTGGTGTCTTTGTTCAGCATAAGAATAGATTATTAGAAATGTGAAAATGTGAAGGTTTCAGTGTTAAGTGTCTTCTGTGTTATCAGCAAAAACCTGGAAAGGGATTCAGCTCTTTCTACAGCAGAGAAAGTTAAAACTTCAGAGGTATGGAAGACTGTTGTGAAAAGAAACTGGCACTATAGCCAAGCATTTCTCTTTATCACACTGCATGTCAACTATATATATTGCTAATGGGCATTTGATAATCCAATCCATGATGCACTATAAGATCAGCTAATCTATGTTATGAAATATACATACTCATCTTTTGATCTTAGTCATAGTCATCCAATATCAACTTACACTCATGTAAATTTATACAACTATATACACCATTATATATAAATATATGTAACTGTTCAAATAGGTATATACACACTCTTGCTCACTCTCACACTCATACCTACATATACACACATGCACAGGTCATTGTGAGCATTTGCATATCAATGGATACACTGTGTTTATATGTATGTATTCAACTGTGAGATTATTTTTGTGCCCTGACTCAAGCATTCCCTCTCTCATTTTCATTTTCTCTCTTGTCTCTTTATCATTAAGTATTACTGCCATTATGTCATAACATCTCATATATCAGTTAAGAGATACAGTGTAAAAAGGGCTGAATTTTCCACTTATCACGTCATCTGCTTGACAATTTCTTACTTTGGTATGAAGAGAAAAGTCATTTGCCAAAGTGTATGTGAGGTGTTTTCAAATTACATACCAGGCAAATGAAAAACTATGTGGTGTTAACTTTGGTAAGAATACTGATATTGAAATGCATAATGTGAGTACTTTACTGAAAGCCAGTAAAGATTCACATAATTACAAACACAAATAATTTTTGGAGTGCATCTGTGGAGTTAGCTGGTGTCCATATCTTGGTTTTAACCCCTAATGGCCTGACAGTTCAGAGCTTTGTGTCCACACAAAATAGGAAAAATTAGTATTTTCTCTCTTTTTTTCTCTACTTTCATTGACAAATATTTAAAATAATTCCAACTTGGCAATCAATAAGACATATCATTCACATACTTATTTTTCTGTCATACCTCAACCCGTGTGCACACATAACTGAGAACAAGAATTGCCATATTCTGTCCTTCAAGGACTGCTGCAGTGATTTTATTCCATAATTCATATAAAGCCATAAAAAGAGGATGCAATGAAAATAATAATTGCAAGTGTCAGAGATATGTTTCTAAGATAGCTTACAATGACAAAATTTACTAAATGTTTACGTACAATTATTTGTGTATACACAGCATGTGCATATACACACG